CATTTAATAAATGTTTTGTTTTGATATACAAATTGTTCAGATTTTTTCATCTAAAAAAAAAAGTGACATTAATTTCTTGACCTAATATACAGCTAGCTAAAGTAGAAAGAAATAGTACATCAGAACATACCTGGCTATATACATAAACTACAAGTGTGAACTAGTGGTATCCATTAAGAAATGTTATTGTTTAGAGATATTATTGGAAATTGTATAAAAACTTGTTACTAACCTAATTATAAGTCTTAAGTTTCTTCTTGATATTTTCAATACATATGACCTGGTGACATTGTAAAACTAACTTTCGTTAATAATTAAGATATGTGCATGAGAACAGTTATTAGTATATTTTTTTTATCAAGTGTAATAGTTAATGTTTGTACATAATTATATTTAGTAAAACTCTGTAAGTTTTAATCTTAATAATAATTAATTATGTTTTTTTAAAAGCTACGTGTAAAGTTATTTTTTATATAATGGCATTGAAACAAAGTTTAAAGTAAAAATTTTACCTTCATAAGCTATAATACTCTCTTTTGTCAGAGCCAGCCTTTTGCAAGAATCGGTAGGTCCGTTATGCAGTGTATTCACAAGCGATGCTTGAGCTGTTGTTGATTGGTTTTCTGATGATGTAATGGAGGGAGTACAGAGTAAATCAGTGTCATTACCAACTGGTTGACACGATAAAGCTAACTGTTCAACTGTTCGCTGAAACTTGTCAACACTAGTGGTCACATTAGGATATGGAACTTTGACAGAAGACACTGTTAGGATTGGAGGTAAACTTGTCACAGACAAAGATGATTCTGTGCTAATTTTACAAGATTGTGAATGCAGTACAGCTGTAGGTTCAGATTTGACATATACATTCTGTTCTATATTACTTTGTACACATACACTAGGCACTGTAACACCACTCTTGTGCACCGTTTCATTCCTCAATCCCATATCAACACCTGTTACGCTTCTCGGTAAATTAAACGTTTTTAGCGTTGACCCCTCACATCTCGTAGCATCTGCCACGATAATGGAATGGGTTTCCTTGGTAACTATACTTCCTTTTGCTTTATTTTCTTCTTTCTTAGGACTAATAACAACTGCTGCATTAGGTCCACGCAGCGATATATGGAGTGGAGGTACCCTTGGTTCAGAGGAACTCACTGACCCTGTTTTGTTAAAAGAAGGAATACTGACAAAAGAGACATCAATTTTGTGGGGTGACTGCGATGAATATCCACTGTCTTTCTCTGACCTACCCTTCTTCTCCCTGTTTTCACTCTCTTTGGCTTCACGCAGAGTTTTAGGATCTAATTTCAATCGTAGTTTGAGCATTTCTCCTGGATTACTACTGGAAGCCACAGAATCTGTCCGGACTGTCAGTTTTGTACTATGGATAATAGTCTCTGATTCTGGAGATTGTGACACATCTGTGTGAGATTTACTAATCCCAGAGTCTGTATCTGATGAGGGGTTGTTGTCTTTACCATCATCAGATGGACTTCTTTCAGACTGTCCATTCTCTGACATGTCCATTTCAAACTCCGGAAATGGTGGAAGTGAACCGATGGACTCTTCTTCTTCTTCTTCATCACTTGGCATTGGTTCTAACTGACCAGTAAATGGATTGATGAGGTGCTTGGTTTTACCATCAGAAGGAGGAGGAGGGGGTGGTGATGGAAGAGACGTGGGTTCTTGGACTGAAACCGGTTCCGGTGGTTTAGGAGTTTCACGAAGCACAGTACTTGCATCCTGAATGGCCTGATACACTGTTCTATTCATTGCTGAAGTAACAGATGGAGAACCCACTGGGGTACAGAAAGGAAGATTTCCGGTGTGTACTTGAGGATTACCTTGTGCCTTAGGATGGATATTGGGAAAAGTTGGGGCTGGTGGTGATAGTGGAATGTTTGGCAGTGAAACACTGAATGACGTGCTATTGAGTACACCTAAGTTTTCAAAACCTGCAGATGTCAAGGGAACAGGCTGGTTGCAAACTGTGGTGACTCCAATATTTTCACCAAAAGGAGACAATGAATTTAAAAAAGATAAGGACTCCACAGCATTATTCTCTCCCCCTCCTGCAAAATCTTCCCTGTTGGGAGGTTTTTCTTTAGGTTTTCGTGGCTTACGCTTTCTTTTTGGTGGCTGTTTTACAGATACTGCGGGGGGTGGCATTAACAGATTAGGGTGTTGTTGTTGTTGTTGTCCATCATTTTGTAAGAGATTAACAAGAAGTGGGCTACAGAGTGCAACATTCGCTCGAGCACTACTAGAAGCAGAAGGCAGCACCGTTGAGACATGGGTAACAAGATTACTATATACAGAGGTTGAATGAGGAGAGGACTGCTGATGCACAGGGCTCATACCAGCATGTGGAGATCCAACAGAAGCAGTAGGTGAAACATTTGAAACTGATGAGCCTTGAAGACTCGATGATCCAAACGGTAAGCGAGAAACACTTCCCTGGCCATGTTGATGCACAGCATGCTTTGTAGTCATAGCATGAGTCATACTAGCAAAAGGAAACGGACCAAAATTGCTCTGTGTTCGACTTTGACTCGTATGGGTAACACGACATGGTCCAGAAATGTTTGCCTGAAGAAAGGGAATAGGCTCGCTCGTTGCTGGAGCCACAACGTTTGGGGACTTGAAGCCAACATTTCCACTAACAAACGGGGTATTACTTTGCACAGTGGGCATGGATCCACTCATGGGTACATGTGAAGAAGACGTGGATGATTCCACACCCACACCTCCTTGCTGGCTCAGGTATTGTGCAATGTTCTTTCGTGTGGCTTCAACATTGCTTGGCCCAGGAGAACCCTCCAAGCTGGAGGCATCAAAAATAGTTGAGGGACTACTGGTGAACTGAGAGCTGTGTGGATCCGAACCCTTATGAAACGTTAACTCCTGTGGCTCATTGTAGCGGCCAGCCAAAGTCAGGGTGATTACCTGAAAAAGTAAAATGGACAATAATGAATCATAAAATTCTATTGTCTTTTAAAGTAACAAAATTCAGTAAATACTTTTAGAAGGTACATATAGGTATGTAGAAATTAAATTATACCAGAAAAAAAGTCTGGTTGTCAATTTGTAATGCACAAATGGAAATATGTTTTATGACTGGAATAACCATACAATCTTTTCTGTGGAAAGCCTATAGTTATTTTGAAACTGTCAATAAACTAAACAGAATTATTAATGAAACAAATACATGTTAGTTAACTACATGTATTAGATCATTATGAAATTAATGTCGCATTTTGGAACACTTTCATTAACCACCCCCCAAAAAACGTACATCACGTATAATAGTTAAACAAACTGCCTAAACATCAAGTTAGTGTAGCCTATATAATGTGTAAAGTTTAGTATACTCTAATCCTTTATAGTGATGTCACATGATGAGACACACATTCGGCATGTAATGTTGTTTGAATACAGGAAGGGAAACAACACCTCTGTAGCCACAAAGAATATCCAAGAAGTTTATGGATATGTTTTGAACAATCGTAAGTGTCAACGATGGTTCAGCAAATTTCTTTCAGGTGACTTTAGCCTTAAAAACTGTGATGGCACGGGCATGTTGGAATTGATATTGATGCTTTGAAAATGCTTGTTGAGTCTAACCCAAGGCAATTCTCGTGAAATGGCCCTGAAATTGCATGTCTCTCGTGAAACAATAGGTAAACATCTAAGGAATATGGGAAAACTCCA